GGACCTAACTGGCTTCAAGACTGAGCTTGATAAGTTTATAAAGGGAATGGTACAAGGAGATTGCCTACATGCAATTGTAGGCAATCTGCAACTGCTAGTAGCAAATATCCCCAATGGCCGGTGATGGAAACTAGATGGGGAGGGTTCTGAGTTACTAGAGACTTCTTTCCCAGGGGCTTGTCCACATGCTCAGGGTAAACTGACCACCATATTTGACGTCGGGAAGGATTTTTCCCTCAGGTTAGATTGGCAGAGATTCTGGGTTTTTTTAGCCTTCCTCTGCAGCCTGGGACACAGGTCACTTTCAAGTTTAAACTAGTGTAAATGGTGGATTGTCTGTAACATTAAGTCTTTAAAACATGACTTGAGGACTTCAGTAACTCAGCCAGAGGTTATGAGTGTGTTACAGAGGTGGGTGGGTGGGGTTCTGTGGCCTGCGATGTGCAGGAGGTCAGACTAGATGATCATGATGGTCACTTCTGACCTTAAAGTCCAAGACACCAGGCCAGAGAGAAGGAGCCAGATGACATCGCCATTTCTACTGGCTAAATCCAAATCCCGCCTGCGATGTCAGACTTTGTCACATGCCCCACCCCCGTGTGTGTTCTTTTCCTTCTCCACCTTATTTCTTCACCTTCCCATCCCTCCCTCTCCTTTTTACTTCTATTTAATAAGAGTCTGGCTTAGCTGGCCAAGACTGCATATTTTGCAATTCTGCTGTACGCCTGTGAACAAAAAAGGCAGCTACATGCAATGCCTCAAACAGCATGAAGCTGGGACAAGTCTGCCAAGTCTCTGAGGGTATCTCCACACAGCAACTAGACGTGCCAGCTGACTTGGGCTCGCAGGGCTCTGGCTGCGGGGCTGTTTCACTGCAGTGCAGACCACTTGGCTTGGCTTGCAACGCAGATGTAGGATCCTGAGAGATGGGAGGGTCCCAGAGCTCAGGCTCCAGCCGGAGCCCGGAAATCTACACAGCAGTGAAACAGCCCGCAGCCTAAGCCCCACGAGCTGGAGTCAGCTGGTACAGGCCAGCCACAAAGCCTTCTTTGCTGTGTAAGCATACTCTGAATGGCTGACCAGACAGTGTGCAGAGTCTGTGTTTCTCCAGCAGTGAGGCTGCAAGTGAGAGTCAATGCCAGAGCCAGAAACTGCATTTTGTCTCTTTGCTGTTCTTTTCTCTCCCCCTTTTGAGTTTATTCCTCTTGTCTTGTCTTCAAGTCCAATCCTGGTTCCCTAGAACAGCAGCAGCAGCAATGACAGAGCAAAGTCCTCATGTTGCTCTGGATATTTCAGGAGCTGCACTGCTCTGGAGTAAATGTGTCCAACCCTCCTTGGCCAGAAGAATGGGGAACAGTCACAGTAACGTGTCTTGATGGTAAGAGCAAATACAGTCGAGCGAGAAGGAAACCCGCGTAGAAGAAAATCTCCCAGTCTGGGGCGGTGCCAGTTGGGGATGGACCTACCCATCCTGCTGTGGAACTCCTGCTCCAGTCCCTTGATGGCTCTGCTGCTTCTTACGTCCCTCCTCTTCCTGACTGCACAAGGACTTGGTAGCACCAGCCTTGGGAAAGATGCAGGACATTAACAGTCTCATATTGGTAACCAAAATGTTTGCATCACGGTGAAGACACCAATATAAAATTGCTCTTTAAAACAAGGCATGCTCTCCTTCCCTTGAGCTACATTACAGCACCCAAGGAACTGGCTAGGGTTACAGATGGGGAAAGAACATTCATCTTGGGCCATACGGGGAGCGCAGGTGTTTACTACATTGAGACGAAGTTCCACATCACGCAGTTTAGACTCCCCTCCCTCCTCACCTAAGGGTCAACTTTAGGCACCTGCTCCTCCTGCAGAGGCCCCAAATTCTCCTAAACATCACCCATCTCCTGGGACCAATGATCTCTAGTACACATTTCCTAGGGTTTGGTGCTCTGTCCAGTTTTAAGGGCCCCAGGTGATGGAGTTTCCATTACATCCTTGATGAGACTAGAATCCACAAACTAATCCACATGACTGCGCCAAAAAGTCCTTCCTGTAGAAAAGACTGGCCTAGTGGTCTTAGGTGACTGTGGACCTTGAACTCCTGAGTTCTGCTTCTAGCTCACTGTAATGCTTGAGTAAATGACTCCCTTCACCCTGCATCAGTTCCCCAGCCTGTAAAATATGGAGGATAGTCCATCCCTAGCTCACTGGTATGCTGCGAGATTTAGTATCACTGAAGTGTTTTGAAAAGCTTGAATTTACCATGGCCAAATTATCTCCCCTGATCTTCCCTTCCAAATGCTCGCCATTCCCTGCAGTCTCTGTAAGAACGGTTGGCGCGATCCCCACCCTCACCTTCATTCAGGCCCATAACCTGGGAGTTTCCTTTCATTCCTCTCTCTTCTTTCCTCACATATGCAAGTCCTATCCAAATCTTGCCACTTCTTCCTCCATAACCTCTCTATCTCTGCAGCTAAGAGCTCATGTCCAGGCCTTTATTTCCCATATCGACCTCTACAACTCCTCCTCTTCCCTGGCCTCCCTACCACCTACTTCACCTTCTCCAGTCCATAAAAAGCTCACTGTGCATTATCCCCTTGCTTCTTTAGAGTCACTGATTGCTTAGGATTCCCAATAATTCCTGAATGAAGGACTTCATCCCTGAGCACCAATTAAAGTCAAGTGCTGCAGTCAAAATCTTACCAAGAGTTCCGACACTGCTAGCCCTCCATATGGCTCCTCCTCGCAACTGGAAGAAGAACAAGAACAGTCCCAAGGACTGCTCAGTGCATCTATGTCCTGAAATACAGAAGGAGGTGTCCAGGTCAGAGCCCACTCCACTTTCAGGCAGTTACATTTTGATTTTCTAACATCTCTGTGTAGTTTCAACAGGATATGGTGTTCTTCTTCAGCTGCTGGCCTAAACCGCTGCACAGCGCTGCGGCCAGTAAACAGGTGGTGCTGCTTTCCATCACGGAGGTAACTGCATTTCAACGTGGGGAAGTCATGAAGCAATTGCTATTTTTATGGTCCATAAAATGCTTTGAAATCCTCCTGCATGAAAATTGCCATACCAGATATCAAAGATATAAGACCACAGCGAAGGCTGACCAATAAGATATTAACCCTGCAATGTTCAGGAAGATTTTAATCATTTCAAGTATGCTTTGCAAGGATGGTAAGTACATTATATATTCCATTCACTCACCAGAACTTGTCTTTAGCTAACAAATAAACTAGTTAATTGGCTTAAATATAAATTATACATGAAAGTAAAAGGTATAGAGTTGAAATGTGAAAACCTGACTGATATGAATATAAGTCTGTGTTGTTTTAAGCTTTCAAGTCTGGATTACCTAGCTAGAAGGCCAGACATGGATTGCTAACTGCATTTCATTTTTGCACTGTACATGGTGAAAGATGCTGTCATTATGTACAATGTGGAAGAGAAATCACTATGATAATTAGTGAAAACTGGAAGGAAAGTTTGTGGTTGGAGTCAGAAAAGCAGCTATATTTAAAAGTTTCCTTCTTACTCAAGCAAGCTTCTCCTGTGTATCTCTGAGTCACACGGTAGCTGCTCAATTTGCTAACACAAACTGCTCTCCCAACTACTACAATGCAGTGATGGCCGAGAGAGGTGGATTCTGATCTGCCTCGTGCATCCCACACAAAGCTGGAAGGCCTGTCAGCTGAGAGCCTATTTGGGAGGGCCCATCATTGTGGTACCTATTGCAAAATCTTCATTACTAGCGAGGAGGTCAGAGGCACATGCGCATGTCTAGATTGGTTGAGTTGCTGCTCAGGTGACCAGGAGATTGCTGAGCGATGTTCGGTTGCCGAGTTGATGGCATTTGTCTTGAATTCTCACTTCACAGAGTGGGCCCTGTGAAGGCTACTGTCTTCATTACTAGTGAGGAAGTCAGAGGCACATGCGCATGTCTAGATTGGTTCCTGGGTTTGACCTTCCACGGTCATCTTGGTCAACTCTGAACCGAATTCAAACCAACCACGGTAGATGCGGACATCTAATGCACAAATGGAAAATCAAGGACACCCTGGTGTGTGAGTGTGCTTCCCCATGACAGACCATCAAACATATCACTACCTACCGCCCAATTTATAAACATGAAGGAGGCATCACTGCAATAAATTCTGCTACTCCTGATGTAGCCATTTGGCTCGATCAACTTCAGGTAAAATTGTAGTTGCTGCTCTATGCCAGCCATGCGAAAGAAGAAGGAAGTCTAGATTTTCAGATCCCAGTGCTGACAGAAAAACCATTGGTGATTGATTTACAACCAAAGCAAATGGGATCTGGAGTAATTCACTGAACTAGAACGTATCACTCAACCTTGCCTGATACTAAGACGTTTCAATGAGAGTGGAGAGTGCTCAGCACCTTGCAGGATCCGGCCTTTAAGTTATCAAAGTATCTGATGTGATGTGAGCCAGTCAGAGGAATCATCCCAGTCCTCTGAAGGAAGAGCCATAAGGTAAAGTAGTTTGCAGTCCACTGCAGACTGCCGATTACTGTGCTTGCATGCCCACTCTTTATTACCAACTTGAATGAACAGAAACAGGGACAAGAAGGAGGAAAGTTATAGATGTGAACATGTTTTGGGGTGCCTCAAGTTACCAACCGACAAGGTGTAAAGTGGCAAGAACCTGCCTCCCCCCACAGACATTCATGCCTTGCAGAGAATGCAGCCAAGTCCGACATTTTCTTGCCTGAAGTTGGCAGTTATTGGAAAGTTTCACTAAACAGTAGCCTATTCTCATCTAAGAATTCGGGGGGGGGGCCCTGCAGGTCAGTTGATAGGGAGCAATCAGATATGTAGATATCAGATTAATCATCCTGTAAGTATATAAGAAAAGGGAGAAATCTAATGCCGTTTCTATTATACTTTCCTTCTCTCTTTTACTGGAAAGAGTGACAAGCTTGAAGGAGAAAAGAAACAAAGCTGAATGAAGGCCAGGCGATAGGATTCACATGGAAAGGTCCATAAGCACCTGAGGGACGTCACTACCAAAGACGGAGAGGGATCGTTTAAAGTGCCCAAGAGGGTATAACTAGGGGATGGAATTAAGAAAAGGAAACCAGGCTGAATAGAAGGAGAAAATGCATGAAAGCAAAATCTTTTAGTCTGTGGAAGAGTCTCCAGAGGGAAAGTGGTAGAAACCCCATCACCTGGGGTTGTTATAGTTAGACTGGACAAACACTAAAAAAAAATGTGCCACAGGAAACAATCCGCATTGGCTGGAAGAGGGGCTGGATGCTCTAACAGGCCTTCTCCAGCTCCAATTTCTGAGTAGCTTTGAAAAGAGCAGCATGGCACAACTTGTAAGGGGCACAGACACTTCCATGGAGGGAACAGCAGCTCCACAGAGATCCCTTCAACATGCCTTGTTCAATGGAAACAATGCCCTTTCAGCCCCTGCTCACCTTCTTGTTCCCAAACTCTCCCCAGCCCCCAAACTCTCACATCTTTCTTCTCTCCCTCATTTCCTCCTTCCAAACTAACCTGTGCTACCTTCTTATCACCTCTTCTTCCAGTCCTCCATCAAATGGATGCTATTGACCTAAATGAAAGACAGGTGGAAGCTTGCATTGAGGTGGGAGTAGGTGGACATGAAACCCATTCTCTAGAACCTTAGTTCCATGCTCCACTGTTGCTGCTGTCAATATTTATAGTGAGACACAGTAACAGGATGTTTGTTCGGGACAGAGGTATGTTTAGCTCCAAAAGGGGCAAAGTGCACTTGCATGGCACCATTCAGAACACCAAGTCTAAAGGACCAGTCTCCCTGTGGTTTTCTATTCTCCACCTACTCTGGCAGTTTGCTCCCACATTTCAAGTCTGACTAGATCTGTGAAGCTGACAAATGCTCGGAGCTCCCCTCCCAAACAGGGGTATAGCCCTCAGCCTGTGTCAAGTCTGGGTGGAGGATTCTCATTGAGGCTCAGAAGAGTCCTCCCAACCCAGCAGTTCATGAAGCAAAATGTACTAAAAAGGCTGCAGCTTGGAACCGACAGATTTGCCATGAGACAGTCAACCAAGGACACTGGCAACAAACTATCCTGGCAGCAGCCACATTTCATTCCCCAGTCACTGCTCAATAACCCTCTCCCGGCACAGTAGGAAGCCAGAGGACAACCTAGGAGACACACAAAATATTCCAGAGCTCTTAGCAAAGGGGACTGGATTTTGCCTTTAAACAGCAAATCACTGATGCGAACAGGAATCAGTACAAAATACACCACCGCTACTGGTATTATTTAGTCCCCTTGTAGGCAGTCTCAACAGAGAGGAAGATCGTGGCCACTGTCAGAAGACAGGATACTGGGCTAGATGGACCACTGGTCTGACCCAGTCTGGCTGTTCTTATGGTGAAAGAGACAAACTTTCAAGCTCCACAGAGCTCTTCTTCAGGATGAAAAGGCCAGCAACTCACTGGGGCTGTCAATCAGCCAGAAGGCTGTCAATCTTTCACCAACACAAAATTCACTTTGGAAAGTTCTTTTAAGAAAATAAGTGGTATCATCATCAAAACCCATCCCAAAAGATTTCACATTTACATTAAGAGAAGGGAATTACTAGGAGCTTCTCCCGATATGAGTCCCCTCAAGCAGGTCAACTTCAGAAATGTTCCCTGTGATTAAAAGCGAGTGTGATGCCATTTTATTGAACCAAACCCATGTTAGCTAAAGCACAAACTGGAACCTGGGATCTCAGAGATATTCTGTCCATGTCTTCAGGGGACAGCCCACAGCATGAGTGGTTTAAGCATTTGCCTGCTAAACCCAGGGTTGTGAGTTCAATCCTTGAGGGGGCCACTTAGGGACCTGGGGCAAAATCAGTACTTGGTCCTGCTAGTGAAGGCAGGGGGCTGGACTTGATGACCTTTCAGCATCCCTTCCAGCTCTATGAGATAGGTATATCTCCATTTATTTCTTAGCTGTTTTATGCATCCCTTCCAGCTCTATGAGATAGGTATATCTCCATTTATTTCTTAGCTGTTTTATAAATTTTTCCCTTGACTAGTCATTTTTACCTTTAACTTGTGAGTGCACCCTTTGGACTCGTAGTCCCAACATACACCTCTTCTCA